TTGAACTACCTCTTTGTACCCCCTTTTACATATTACTCACAGATTACCGAGTACCCCTTATTACAAATCCTAGATGCACCGCTGGGATAACTAATCAGATTAGCCGTATCATATCTTTCGTTCTACAACGTAACCCTTCAGCTTGGATGAGCCTAATTACTGATTTCAATTAATAAATTGGGGCAACGGAACTGCTGTAGGCAGGTACCCGTGATTTCAGAGTGTTTTCAATGGTTTTCTTTATTATTCATGTTTGTCTTTTATTCACTTGAGAATAAAGTTTTCATTGACCTCCAACTAAAAAAAAAATATTACTAAAAAAAAATATTCATTTGAAGACATGTTTATGATTCATATCAAATGATTTGATATATTTATATAGAGTATTTCTCAAAAATGTTGTAATTACATATAGTGTATAAAATCTGCAATAATAAATTTCTTGGAGAAGTGGAAATGTGAAATAGGGGTTAAAGTAAGCTATAGTAAGTATACACCTAGTGTGCTGTTAAAATATTTAATTTTTTTTTAAATCTGGAAACATTCGAAAAAAATCAATTAAAATGTTGATTTGCTCATTTACAATGATCAAATAATGTTATCAACTAAAATAAAACACAAATTAAAACAATTTAGTTATTGGTTTAATTCTTGATTAAAAGCTTAAAAAAAAAATATTGAGAATAAGCATTTTAGGTTTTTTACATTTAATATACTCTTAATTGGGGTTTCAATTGGCACGAACAGAACATTGAACTTGTTTCAAAATGTTCTTCATTAATTAATGATTTTGCGATCAACAGGATAAGAGATTGTCATTGACTACAATAAGGTCACGTTGACAGACTTCAAGTGCATACAAAAAACAAAACTGAAATACAAACTATAGAACCTAAGCAAACCAGACACCACAAAATTAAACTGAAAAAAGAAGAGAAAACTATCATATATAAAAAAAAAAAAAGAGAGAAAAGGTCATAATTTGAAATACAGTGACCTAAAACCTTAGCTGTAATTAAGATATATTTCAAAGTTTATATAGCTAGCAAACCAATTTGAGACATTGTTTTATTGTTCATATCGATAACAATAAAATTCTGGGTTACTCTAATCTAAATGAAAATGAGGACAATATTAATTGTTTTTTAATGACACTTTATGAACATATGAAAAAGTTATAGACTTAAGTAAGATATATCTTGATGGTGTTTCATGACAATGGTTATGAACCTGGCACGCTTATACAGAGAAGTATCAAAGCGGTGTTTCTTACAGTTGACGTCCAAGATCTCATTTCCCGTGCATATGTTCATGGTCACTCTAAATTGTTCCCCCTTTGAGATTATTCTCCAAGCAGGAAGGTGTTCAATGCTCGCAGCGGACAAGTATTGTTTTCACTGTCGAGGGCTGTGCCAGATGGCAGCGGGCATAGATCAAGATGACAGCTACGGGGCCTATAGAGCCAGCAATGTGGTTGCCTTTCACTCAAGACTTTAATAAGTAAAATAATGAAGAGGAAATACTTGTTAATCTCCTGTACGCTGAATCATTCCGTCATGTTTGTCAGTCTACCCCAAAAGAAACGACATCAACCAATCACCTTACTCCTAACGCTGTCACTTTCGACGCGTGATGACAGATCTGATAAAATTCAACCCACTTCTATGGTTGAATTTCTTTTTCAACATCGATTTTCTCTCAAATCAAAACTTTAAATAAACATTTGGTGAATTGGCAAAGGAAATAAAGTAAAATGTTTTTTGGTAATTTTTTTTAAAGGAGAGTGTATTTACAATGAAGAAATTCTGTTAGTTAGACTTTGGCGTATTGTAATGATATCAACATGTACTTATGAATTAACTTAGATCATATTTCACTTCACTATTTCCTAGTAAATAGACTTATGCCTGATGTTTGAGTCAATTTTATATTTTTGTCTCTTTCCTACATATACTTCCCAACAGAATCAGGTTGACAAATATGAATATCGATATGCACTAAATACATTTTTTGAATACCTATATTATACATACATAAATTTAAATCAAATCAAATATAATTATATATTTACTATGATTTCCCACCTGTGTCCTAGAAACACTTTTCTAGCTTAAACTCAGCTCCACAATGTGTGAGCATTTCAGTTAGTTGTATGACAAAGTGTCTGGGAGTTAGATCTCCGCGCATATCCTAAAGACAGACAATATGTTCCTATTCGAGCATTGTAATTATCATGAAGAAACATAGGCAAAAATCATGCATACGTATTTGGTAAAATATTAGTTTCATATCCATTTGATAAAAATTACTTTGCAAACATTACATTTAACTATAAAAGCATTATTATATCTTCCTAGGTTTTTCTTTAATAGATATGAAAATGTTAATGTATCTTAAAACAACCATGATATTATTGGTCGAAGATCAGGTGGCTTCTAAATCATTATCCTTGCTTTTGTTCCATAAAATATTAATCGCTGTTTTACTTTAAAACCCGGAAAAAAGCTTTCTTGATGCTACAAGAAATTTAGCATGAAATATAAGATTTCTAAAAGAAAATAAAACAAAGAAACTTCAGCATTTACTAATAATACAAATTGGAGAAAAAAAGAATTCCAAACTCATGTTTTTGACAAAATAGGTTTTTTAAAGTTATTGCTAATAAAAATGTAAGTATTTTATATGTGTTAAAATCATTTCATTTGACTTCTAATAGATTTATGGACAATAAAATAGTTTGCATCTTGGAGATACTAAGTGAAAAAATGCTTTTTGAATTACAGCTCTTAAGATACTTGCATTTAAAATAGTATTTTGTATCAGCAGAGTCGTGTTCATTCGTTCATTCCCCTTAAAATGGGATTTTAATTCTTTTACCGTGTATTTCGCTTTTCATTTCATTTATTTCATTCGCCATCAAAATCACAAATACAACCCATTAGAATATAGCATAGAATAAGAAGGTTAAGATGAATGCCAGTTCTACTGACCCAATGGGATTGTCAAGAGGTAATATTAATTGCCGTTGAGCAGCTCTTTGGAGGTTTGGAGGGAAAAAAGGTCTCCAAGAAAAACCAATAGGGACACAAATGATCAATAATTTCATCCTTAATCATTCTAGTATTAATATATCGTACTTATTGGTTTTTTTTTTAAAGTATATTTATTTGTTTAATACAACACTTTCTAAGGCTCTGTGTTGCAAGTTATTATATTGTTTATAAGGAATACCAATAGCAAAATGGTGATGTTTACTTACTTTTAATCTTAAGTAATTACTTATTAAGCCTTATGCAAAACCAAAAATATTTTATACGCAAGAGTATTATAAAATTCAACCAAAACAATATCGACAAGCAAGCAAAAATTTGTAGAGATGGATGCATGAGACAACAATGTTCAGTCTATTTAAATTTTGGGAGGTGGAAATGTGGTATGCTTAGAGAAACATAATGCCAAAACGATAAATTTCCTGACTAATGCCCAATAAAAAAAAATATTAGTTTACCTAGGCAGGAAGGGAATATTTTTATTCTTATTTTGCTAAAGCCAAATTATTCTTGGATTGTTTGCTGGTCCATTGGTATGCAAAGTAGAATATATTATTAAGATAATACAAATAATATCTACTATTTACTAAAAAATGAAAACAAAAATTGTTTTTTTTTCAAGGGCCATAGAAGACATGCAGGTGAGGGTGATAAACTAAATAATTTTTATCATTGGGCCTAATTTATATCAAAATTGTTTTTACCCCCTGTATTGGAAAATATTGAATCTTCTCTTGTAATATACTCCCTTATCCCCTCTGCCACCTGTATGCACTGAAAAATCTTTCATCTTCCCTTGCAATATAGTTCCCTACCCCTTCTGCCCACTGAGGGCCTCATTTGTAGACTGTGTAGACATTACATTATAAACACTGTATTAAGTGATTAATGGGATCCAACAGGTTAATACACACATCACATATAACAGCCGTTAAGCTATCAACTTGATGAATAGCGTTTGGGCCGAGCATCGACAAATGACCTCCATTGTCTAAGCATTCGAATTTCCAATTCACCTAGATTTTATTTCTGCAGAGATTTTGGCATGAAAATTGACCTGTTGATTCCAAATCCCCTTTGGAAATACAGTAAGAATAGCCATATAAAAGAAGAAATCCCAGACCACTAAGTAATTTCAGATTACAATCCTACAACAATAAAAAAATTATCATAAAACAAATCCACCTCCCAAGACCCATAACTTGGAAAAGCAAGTTCAAGGATCACCTAATCTGGATGAAGCAATTAAAACTATAAATATATTTTAGAATTATAAACAAAATATTGCATATACTATTGCAGCGGCAGCATTGGGCGGGGTCCGGTGGGGGGGGGGGCATGGTTGAGGAACCCTGGATCACCTGTCAGAGAGAAAGCCAATGTCATCTGGAAACATTGCTTTGAAAAAGCAATTTTACAGTCATTAGAGTCCTTAAAGTTTGCTCCAACATTGGTAGGGTAGGTAAGGTAGGTGCCTTCTCATGTTGGGATCTTGGACATCTCAACAGGGGCCGGAGACCCCCTGATTGGGGCCTTGTACTCCTCATCAGGGATCCTCTGGTGCTCCACTGTATTATTATATTTTCAATTGTGAATCTATCTGGAAACAATATTTTCTTGTTTTGAATTTATTTTTTTTAATAATTTAATTAACGCATCATTTTCTTCTGGTCATGGCAGGCCATCACATCAAACATGCCCACCATGTGATGCCTACATTAATACTTTATTTTTAAAAAGAATAAATAAAGTGAAAATTAAAAATTAAGATAAAATTTTAAAAAAGTAATTATGCTACATAAAAATGACGCCAGTAAGTTTATGTGCATTGTGTTTGGTTTATTATTGATAAAACAGTTCTACAATTATCACTACTACTGGCAAATTATATGAGATATAACTTTGAGACACATTAATGAAACAAAAATAAAAATTATAAATTTGTCTTACCTGCCACAGGTATTGAAGCAGTAAATGTTGACGATCAGGGAGCAAATATTAATCTGTTGATTAATCCAAATCGGACACAGTCAATTCCGAATTCACAACAAATTTTCATGATAAATTAGAAAGAACAGGTAATGCAACAGAAATCATTATACAGTACACTGCCAAATTTGCATTGCAATTCAGCATATTAATATAATCTTTTGACACGTACTAAGTAATTCACATCTAAGATATTCTACTTTTTACAGCACCGAGGAATACTGGTTTCAAGATATAGCCCTAATATGAATTAAAACCTTTCCTCAAATGTGCTTAAATTTTATAATTTAAAAGCATGCTTCACAAACAAATTTATTAATTTTCATTAGAGTATTATTCTAGGGGTGAAAAGTTAGCCTAATTCTGAGCTCTATTAATACACCTCACCCTAGCCCGTTCCCCTGGATGTCAAGGAAACCCTTCAATTTTGTCCTATTATATAGATTACTGTGTAGGCAATATGTCTGAAGAAGTCATGAATGCAGTTTTGTGTATTAATGTTTTTACAATTCTGCCTTTTAATTTGTACAGGGATGACTAATGTATCCAAACCGGTAAGAACTTTTTAAGCTTTAAAAGCAAAAAAAACCATCGAAATTTTGACAGATATTAAATATATTTTTATTCTCTAAAGCAATGAACAAACTAGTAACACATACAAACAAAATAAACTTGTAGTGCTCTAGTGATGAAATTATATTGAAAGTGAAAATCAAAACTTACTTTTCTGTTCAATTTTATATCTATTATATTTTGTTCCTAGCAAGGAATAGTTTGGTATAACAAGATAATTTTTAAAAATGTATGAATCAATCAATAGTTAATCAATCAATCAATCAATCATAAATATGAAATATTAAAAGTAATATTATTAAAAAATGTATAATCTGTGATGAAGTTTAATTAAGTAAGGCCTAAAAAAATTGTTTGTTTGCCCTTCTTTTAAGATACTCATTAGATGGAATAAAAATAACCCACAGAGGCCTAAAATGGCAATATCTTACAACAGACAACAACTTCAGACTAATTTGTAGGGCATCTGGAAAAAAATAAAGATAAATTCACTCACATTTTTTTTTTTAATTTGTAAAGAAAAAAGCTAAAAAAAGGGGGGAGGGGAGACAGAAAAGTTGATTACTGCGCCACCAGCTTGAAGCGGATGGCAGGCTCAGAATTGCTGGAATTGAGATAGATTACATCACGCAATTGGCAAGGTCTTTGGACTCATTGCTGGTACCTCATCAATGCTTTTTTATTTATGTCATTGTGAAAAGGCCCTAGAAAAAAATGTCTTTGGAAAAAATGTGGACCTTTCAAAATTTTTTTTGGGGGGGGGGTCGTATGACCTTTCCGACCCCCTCCCTTGCATACACCCATGCTGTTATGGATGTTTATCTGACACAATTAATGTAGTACTGTGAAAACAGATGAGACATAAAGATCACTATATAAGAATAGTTAAGAATTTCACATTATATTTGGAATTTATAGTAGCTTAAAGAATAACTATTTTTGTTCAAATTTTCAATTGAAAAGCATTAAGTTACTTAAATATACAAAGTAGGTTAATTCAAGTGTATTGTTTAAGATTCAGAGAGAATAAGGACGCTACTTCATCGAACACCAATCTTATTTGAAATTATTATTTTTAGGCCAAGTAGGAAAAGCAAATTAATGTCATAAAAATTTGTTCTCAACACAATATAAATTTGTTACTCGCTGGATTTAATTAAAACTTTAAACTTCATGCACACGATCCTACAGTGACTTTTCGGACATGTAGGTGTGGATAATAGACATCCACACCCACCTCGTCTCAGTTTAGGGATGGGTGGTTGACCCAAATGCATATGGCCTTCTTCACCCGCATTTTGAAGTATTTGGGCTCCCTGTTGAAAAAATATTTTTTTTAAATCGCCTTTTTGGTTGGCAGTGAATGGTAGCACCAGTGGGAAGGGGGTAAGCCAGATTAAAACAAAATTCATCGCAGGGAAAACATATTCTATGTACTTTTTTAGATTATTGTCTTTCAAATTCTTAAATTATTAAAGCTTCCAAGTGCTTAGTACCCTGGACCACATCTTGGAGGTTCTGGGTGGCCCTGCTCACTCCAATCCTGTCAAGGAAATCAGCCCCAAACCCTAATTCACCCCCTGTCAGAAGAAATAGGTGCCCCCACCCCATCAGGTAAATCCAAGTCGTTAAAATGCTGGTACACATCAAATCTGACTTTTTATACAGGCCAGAGCAAAGGCATCCTCCCTTCCCCAGAAAAAAGCTTATGAACCAGAGTGAGTAAAAGTATACAAAACAAGGATTCACTGGTTGAAAAGCTATTTTATCATCCTGTTTTCCAGATACAACATTGAAGAGTGTAAAGTTATTACATCATCTCCTTTAAATTTATTCTTTCCTTGCAATATAAAAGTTGTGTTATGAAATGTGGATTTTGGCTGGAATAGGAATTAAATATATCATAAAAATTATAGCTGGTCGTAATATGACTCTCGTTGTGACTGTGCCAACTTTTAACATTCGATATTCTTGTTCCTAATATACATCACTCCAGAGTATAATTATTACAGCGTTATCAATGCATCAACTGTATGCGAGGAAATTTTGTTGTGTTTTTCCAAAGATAATAATTTATAGGAATTCAGGTACACAGAGTTTCAAGAATTTTTGTTACAAATGCTTATTTGTGTTGTGCTAATAATAATATGAAGAATTTTAAAAAATAGTTAAATTGCTTACTTTCTGTATCATTATTATTATTATTATTATTATTATTATTGTTATTATCATATTAATCAATTTCATTAGAATGAGAATATATTTTACTTCACTATTAACATACACATACCTTTCGTATATACTTTATATATAAATCTTGGCTGGGGAACAAGATTTTTGTAGCAAAAAGTTTGTTTTGACAAACATCTCAGCCATCCTATTCACTCCCTCACCTCCTGGATCCGCCCAAGTGATCCTTAGGTGAGAATCTAGGGGGATACACCTCTGGAAGCTCCTGAGTTCTAGGTATTTAACCTCTTTCCTAAATAATTTCATGCTTGATTAAAAAGTATTTTGTTGTTGTCAGATATTAGAGGATCAAAATTCATGTTAATTATAAATATTAATTCAAAGGGAAAGAAAAAAAAACAACCATAAAATTTCACAATATTCAAAGTTAATAACAAATCATGAGATAATTAAGACACTAAGAAAGTGCAATCAATCAATCTGTCAATCAATCACTAAAACAATCAATCTATCAAAATGTAGTTTCAAAGTGTGTTTGCATCAGGAAACAAAATGTAGTTTGTTAGCAATCAATTTGATGTTAGCAGACACTACCAGTGTCAATCAGTGGTGTCGCCAGCGAGGGCAGGGGGAATTTACCTCCCACTCCCCTATTGGACATGTCTGAACTCCCTGCCAATCAATGCAACGATGAGGTCGTTGGATCAAAATTAAAAATAATAATCTGCCTATCCAAATAATGTTATTTTGATTGCCAATCCCTAATACTGTCGTATAAAAAGCACAATTTTGACCATACTAATCCATAAAAACTCTCCCAGTGAACCCTGCCGGGGTTATTTTCTTCCGGGACGCCGAGAGAGGCTCTTTAGTTGGCCCCTTGGTTCGGACTCCTCCGTCAAACAAGTAGTACCACTTTTCGGCAAAGTTCTGGAGCCCTCGCTGACGTCAATAAGAATGGCAGACAAGAATAAAGTAAACAGTCTACTATAAAGAGTTCATTATTCTTAATAGACTTTTTTCACAGCTGAAGAAAACCAGATCTGCACTTTTCCATGTAATCCTTAACTTTAATTATGACAAGTTGCCTTGTGAGTAATTCCAGCCATAATCAAGATGCATATCTGCACTGTCTTCAGCTAATTACTTAACTAGTGCAACTACAATTGAAGATGGGGTAAATCAGGGGCTAACTACTTCTGTTTCAGTTTGTAATTCTGTGACTTAAAAATTCTATGAAAAATGAATCATATACCATTCTGTCAGTGGCACCAGGGTCAAGGGTCAGAAAATTATGATACCTCCCAGATATCAGAAAATTAATATAAGGCCTACAAATGCAACCTTAGTACGGTAATTTCTTTGTGCTCTGTTCTTCATCATAGGACATTCATTCTACCAATGTTCTTATGGCAATTTGTGACTCATAATATATACATAAACTGATTGTCATGAGTCACAATATGAATATACAAACAACCGATCAAAACTTTTTAAAAACTTCATAAAATTATATGTATAAAGAAATATTTGTTTGGCTTAGATTACACGGCAAATTTTTTATTCATTAATAATTTTAATATTTTCCCCTTTTTCCTTTGTTGTCCCCCATTTTTTGACTTCTTTTATCAGAAAAAAAAATTGGTTGCTAATTCTCCCGAGTTTTTCCTTTAAATTATCACACCAAATATAAACCTCTTAAAATAAGATATTTTATTTCATCTAAGCTATAAAATTACCCGTGGGAAAACAAGGTCTATTTTTATGTGGATTTTGTAGCAATAGACTAGATATTTATTCTGAACACAAAATAAAGTTATGGGTTATCTTATTAGAGATTTTTAAAGATAATTTTTTGCGAGTTTGAATTAGGTCATATTAAAAATTTGGGTTCTCATGCTCTATGAAAACTTTTTGAGGAAAAACAAGACACAAAGAAGGTGGAGGCCTTTTCTTTTGTCCCAGCTTTTTCAGGTAATCATTACTGAATGTTGGAACTCCAATCATACAAACAGGAACATTAAACATTGCAATATTGTAAAAAAAATTATTATTTTAAAAGAAATGGTAAAATTTAATACTTTTAAAACATAATTAGGAACATTAGACATTGCAATATACAATAAAAAATAATTATTATTTTAAAACAAATGTTAAAATTTAATAATTTTAAAACATAATTAATTTAATATAAATTAACATTTAATTCCAGCAATTATTAAGGACTGCAATATTGTAAAAAAATAATTT